TCAGCAGGACAGCTGCAGAGCTGGGACCCCACGCCTGAACTCCCAGCCTCACCCAGCTCTGGCCAAACTTCCCAGGGTCAGAGCTGTCAACAAAGGGGACTCAGTGGGGAAACGGAACCCACAGGGGCCCGGATGAAGGCTCAGAGGATCGCCCTCCTCCCAAAGACCTCACACAGACCATTTGCACTTCGGGGGCCTCAGTTTCCCTGTCTGTCCTGAGGTGATCAGAGCCATCCCGTCCCTCTCCTTGGTTTGTCCAGGGTTTGGAGAGAGTCTGGAGAAAGCTGGGACCCTGCTTTAAGGGGAAGACCAGAGAGTCTGGTGGCCTGGGTAGGGGTCAGCAAGGGGCACTCAGTGGGGTGGAATGGCAGGGTGGCTCTGGCTGGAACTTGGAGGCAGGGGCCTGGATGAGGCAGGGGAGAGGACCCTGCCCACAGACCATGGGCACCATGGAGGAAGTGGCAACCAGGAGAAGTGGCCCTTTTGGGCAGAGGCCAGGGACGCCCAATCTGGAGAAGAGCAGTCTCTCTGGGGACAGTCACCGGGATTCTCTCAGGGTGAGAAAGGACCGGAAATGAAGAAGCTCAGCTCTGCGATTGGCCAGATTTGAGCTCTGGTCTGGCTTTGCTGTTCAGGAGGTATGTGACCTTGGGCAAGTTCCTGAGTCTCTCTGAGCCTGTAAGTGGGAGCTAATGTGGTATCGAGCGCGTTGTAAGAGTTAAAAAGGCTGGAGAGGGCACGGGGCCTGGCAGGAATAGTGCTCCATTAAATGATGCTGCTGTGAGCGAGTAGCAGCACCCGTCTCTCCTGGGGGCTGCAGAGATCGTAAATAGGAACAGAGGCAGGTGAGACGCCTGTGCCACGTGCCTGCCGACAGCAGACAATCCCGGCAAGAGGAGTAACAGGTAGGTCTCTCTCACCTCCTAAACAGACTGTCAGGGCCCCAGGGGCTAAAGTGCTCCAAGCCCTCTCCCAGGTCCATTTTGGGAGGAGCGGATGCTGGGTGAGGGGGCTCGGCCCGCCCTCAGTCCTGGGGAGTGAGCAGTACCTGATGATGGGCTCATTGTCCACCTTCACGATGCAGTAGGGGTCACTGCTGCCAGTGCTGCAAGACAGGCCGGGGAGGAGGGTGTTGGTGGGCAGGCCAACTGCAGGAGGGGCCAAGGGCAGCACCTTCCCAGCACCCCTCCCTCTGCCAGGGGTCCTCAGTGACCTGAGGACAGAGGGCGTAAGGGCTAAAGCACCCGTCCTGGGCTGGAGCCTAAAGGCTCCTCTGTCCAAGCTAGAACATGTGCCCCCTGGCTGGCTTAGCTCAGTGGCAACGTGTCATAGTCCAAGCGATGCAGGATCCATAGGGAAAACTGTAGGTTTGGTTCCCTGGTCAACCTGTACATGCCAGGAGCATGCGCCCACGATGCCAGCTGGCGGGGAAAGTTGGGGGGAATGTGGCATGAGACCCTGTCGTGGTGCTTGCCTTTCCCTCTCTTTCTCTCTCCGTCTCATGAAAATATATAAATAAATAACTTCAAACAACAGCAAAACATGTGGCCATCCTCAACCTAGAAGGGAGTTAGTGAGGAAAAGGCAGGAACCCACCCCAAGGCTCCCCTTCCGCGTGCAGGGCTGGGCGAGGGGCACTGCTCACGGCTCCTCCTTCCTGCCGACTCCTACCTCCCACTCCAGCCTTTCCCCCAAACAGGGTCCAACCAATAGCCCCTGCCCTCAACACCGGGGTCGAGTCCCTTCCTCTCCCTTGACTTTCGCTCCTACTGTCGGCGTGTCCCTCCTGCCGGACCGAATTCAACGCCTTCCTCTAACAGCCCACCTCCCCGCAGAAACAGGAGTAAGGTCTCCCCAGTTCACACTACCTGCCCCTCCGAATTATGTTTCCTTTCATCCCAGTACCGTTAGTGATGTAGGAAGGGGGGTCTTCAGAAAGTGTGTGAAAAGTACGTATCAGGGTCAGCCCGTGTTCTGGACAAGGCGGCTAGGAAAACAAGCCAGGCCGTGTGCGTGCGTGCATGCCCCAAATACCGAGAGCAGAAAGCAGGAAAAGGGGTTGTGGTACGGCCCTCCCCCTGGGGTGGAGGGTGATTTCTCACTTTCTCTGGAAAACACATGTGCCCTACAGCAAAACTAAAAAAAAAAAAAAAAAAAATTCAAGGCGAGTGCACATTATGAAAAACTGTGCATAGACTTCAATTTTCTTTGCACCAAAATGAACTCTTCCTTCAATTCCACTTTATTCGTGAACTTTATGAAGCTCCCTCCTACTATCAGCTGCCTCCTGCATCCCACTATGAGCTCCCTACAGGTGGGGGTGACTTCTGTGTCCCAGGGACCGGGTCAGGGCTTGGCACAAGACAGAGGGCCCATAAGCGTTTCCTGAATGGATGGATGGATGGATGAGTGAGTGAATAAGTGAATGAATGAAAAAATGTAAGAACCTGCCCTCCAGAGTTCCCAGCCATCAGGGAAAGGACAGGGGAAGGCAGACTGGGGCAATTTCACGTCTTAGGTTGGTGGGGGATCCTGGGACTTAGAATGGTCTCCAGCAAGGCCCCAGGTTGGTCCTGAGCAAAAAGGGGTCCTGGTGGGTGCTCAGGACTATCTCTGCAACTGCTCCTCTGGCCTGGCCTGCCATCCATAAATAGGAAGTATAATTTACATGACCGTGGCTGGGGAATTCCAAGCTCTGCTTCCTTTCTCAAAATGTTCTCTTCCTTTCAGCCCAGGAAGCCACTGGGAGCAAACCACTCCAGCAGCCAGTGGCAATCCACTCCAGCGGCTCTCTGCCATGGACAGGAAATGTCTGCCAGGACTTGGTTTTCCCACCTGCAGAGCAGGAGCCCCAGCTCACGAAGTGGCTGCCCTGGGTCCAAGCTGGTACGAGCAAGTCAGCCTTGGAGGTGTTCAGTGCAGTTAGCACTGCCTGAGACTCGTTCTCTCCAAACCCAGCCATCATTCAAGGACCTCCGCCTTCAGGGAAGCCCCTGTGAACACCTCAGAGTGCATCCCACCAGCCCAAAGCCAGGGGCCTCCAGGCCTCAAGCTACTGGGCCCCTGTGTGCCCAGAACCTGGGCTGGGCTGCGGGACTCAGGAACTGTGCATGAATGTGTGCACAAGGAACTCAGAGGAAGCGGTGGGAGGTCCACGCTGCTGAGGCGACAGGGGACCTCTTGGACCTGTCCCCCAGCAGGGGGCCCCCTGTGCTCTGCTACTGCCTCCTGACCTAGAGGCAGGGAACCCCTTGTTCATCACTGTGGGCCCAGCACCACCCACTGCTCAGCTCTCAGTGAGTGCATGCATGCATCGGGGCTTATGGCATAGACAGGACGGCTGGGGTAGGCAAAGGCCCAGCGACAGGAACAGAACCCAGGTGTGCAGCGACAGTGATGAGCTTGGTGGCTGGAAGGAGTGGGAAGCGGACAATGTCAAGGCAGACTGAGTTCAGGATTAAGGATGCGGGCCCAAGCTGGTGCCTGGTCTGCCCAGTGCCCGCTCCCCTAGGGAGCTCCTGGGCCGGTCCCCACTCCCACTTCTCCTTCCTCAAAACAGTTGCCACTAGCCCTGTCTGACTACTTGCGGGGCCTCTATATTTAGGGCCTTGGCAGTTTCAAGGCTGTGGAAAGGGGGGAGGATCAGAGCAAACCCTGAAATAGCCCTGGGCTTGTCCCCAGGGCCAGTGGCCGTGGGAGCCAGCAGGTCACTGGTCACCGTGAGCCCCGGCTCCCGCCAGTTGACACAGGTACCCAGCGATGGGAGGCATGGGAACGAGCATGGCAAAAGCAGCAGGCTCTTGAAGTCGCTGGTGAAGGGGTGCACAGCTGTGCCCTGCGCCCTGAAGGGGAATAAAAACCCATGACAGGAAGTGGCAGCTGTGTAAAACTGGCTCCCTCCAAGAAGCGTCTCAGCCAAGAAGGGCCATTTTGAGTGGTGGTAAGCTTCCCATCCTTGGAAGTATGCAAGCCTCTGCTGGAGGGGATGCTGCCCGGGAGACAGGCTGGGGGCTGGTGAGGCACGGGGAGGTGGGTTCACCACCCATCTGCCTGTGGTCAGTAATGCTCCCCGCAGTCCCTGCAGCCAGATGCCCTGCATGGATTTTGCAAAGCTCAGACCCACTGAGCCCCATGGCAATGTGGCAACCTAGGTTGGACCGGAATTCCTGGCCTATGGCCAAGAAACTGTGGGTCTGAATCCTGCCTACCAACCTGCTGTGTAATCCTGGCAAACAACTTCTGCATCCCGAGCTTCAATTCCCCACCTGCAAACTGAGAATATCTACCCTACAGCGTTAATAAGAGGATTAAACGGGAAGATCTTCAGCACCTCCAATTCTCCCCTATCATGGACCAGGTATCCCTGGGCACCTGCCCTCAGTCAGGGATCCCCTGAAGGGTGACTACTACCCTTCGGCTGACCCACAAGGCAGAAGGCAAGAACAGGGGCCATGTCCCTGCCCAAGAGCACTAGGAAAGCCCGAGAAGTGTGTGAGGGGTCCTGAAGGATGAGCAGGAGTTATCTGGAGGACTCTCAAGGGGGGTGCTTGGAGGCAGAGGGCCCACATGTGTGAAGGCTGGGTTGTGAAGGGCAGTAGCCCAGATGGGTCAGCGCTGTGCACAACAGCCACCTTGGGGAAGGCAGGGGTGGGTGCGTGAAGAGAGTGGGTGGGAGGAGGGCAGACAGGGGACAAGGTGAGGAAAGAGGTTCAGGGAGCAGAACCGACAGGACATGGTGGTGCCTCCCTGGGGGATGGAAGAATCTCACCCAGAATCTCACCCTGGCCTGGGCAGAGGCGAGGCTGGGCAGTGAACCAGGCACCTGGGCTCCCAGGTAGGGACAGCCCAAGCACTTCGCCATCCTGCGCTGGTGAGAGCCTGGAGCAGGCGCTGGGGCCAGATGTTGTCGGTATGGGGAGGGAGGCGACAGACGGGGCTGCCCCTCCCAGCGCCATCAGCCAGAGGAGGCCCAGATGACCTAGTTACCAGTGCCAGTGTATGCGCATTGGGGGGTGGGGGTTTAGAGGTGGGGCCAGGGGCTGAGACCTCTCAGAACTCATCTGCCTCCCCACCCCCGAAGAGACTCATTCCAGGCTCCGGCTCCACCTTCCCCCAAGCACAGAAACCCACCTGGAGATCACCCAGCCCCCCTCCCTTGCCCATCACCATGGCAACCGCTGAGCTCGGCCTCCTCAGGCCCAGGGGGCCTTGAACTGGAACTGCTCCTGGCGCAGAGCTTGCTGGGAAGCTCAAGGGGGGCCACTGTGCAGGAGCTATGCCTCCCCTTGCCATCTCTCTGCATCCGGGAGCCTGCTGAGGAGCCCCAGGGGCAGGGAGGCTCCAATGGGGCAGACTTTGGACCCTGGGCCTCCTCCCAGCTCCCGTTCTCCACCCCTGCTTCCAGGCTGCCAGCGCCCCCTCCAGCTATGTGCTTTCCACCTCTCCTTCTAGGAGTTCCCGCCTCTGTTTTACAGAAGGAGAAACTGAGGCTTCAGGGAACAGAAATGCCTAAGGTTGCACTTGAGGGAGCTGGTGGCAGGGCCAACATGGGGAACCAGGAGCCGGACAACTCAGCCCTGGGACACACTGGAAGGGGAGACAATGCCCCTGAGACCTCCTCGGATTCGGGCAGGACCAGGGAACACGGGATATGTCAGCGCCTGTTAGGAGCCCTTGACAGCAGACCTTGCTCTGCCACTGGGAGACAGAAACTCAGCCTCCCAGCCTCTGTTTCCTCATCTGTAAACTGGGATGAGAAGCCTTACCGGGTGGTTGTGGGAATTAAAGCGAAGGCTCAGGTACAGTGAGGGCACAAGAGGTGGCTACTTCCAGGTCACAGCCCCCCTCATCTTGCACAGGTCCTGCCTCCTAACCTGCACCCCATTCTTCAGACCAGTCCCTTCATGCCCAAGTGCACAGCAAGAAGCACGGGGACAGTCCCGGGGCCCCAGCACGTGTTTCGGTGCACACCTGGGGTACTCAGGGCTCCGGAACTACTGAGGAAGACCTCTAGTTTCTAGAGAAGCACTCCCAATCCCTCCAGCCACAGCACCCGCAGGTCACCACGAAGTCTTCCCTAAAACGTCTCCCCCCTGCACCAGCTCCTGCCCTGACACAGCCCCTTCCCCTGTGAGCTGTAGTTCTCTCCCTTGCAGATCCGCTCCCCCGCCAAGTCCCCAGAGCTGACTTCCCCTCTGGTCATCCCCTGTCCATTGCTCGCAGCAAATCTTACTGTCCCCATTTCCCCTGCCAGCCCCCTACCACAGCCACACTCGCCACACCCTCCCGCTGCTCTACTTTGGGGCGCGTCATGCGGTCCCAGGAAAGGTCAGACGTAAAGAGGACAGCGCCCTTCCTCCGAAAGTTCGGGATCCCCCAAACCCCAACCCAGCTCACATGTCCTTGGCGGGCAGGTTCTTCCCCTCCACGATGCGGATGGACAGCGAGCTACGCTTGGCCATCGCGAATTCGCCACCCCGGGTCCCGGCCAGGGGGAGTCGGACAACAGGGTCCTGGGCAGCGGGAGGCCAGCGGGCGGGAGCTGGACTGGGCGCTGGACTAGGAGCCTCAGGGGGCGGGCCGCGCCGGGCCAGGGAGGGGACCGCGGGGGCGGGGGAACCGCTTCCACTTCATTCACCCCCGCCCCCGTCCCACGTGCGGGGGACACTGCGCGCGGGTGGGCCAATCAGCGGCCGGGGTTCCCCGGGGTGGGGTGGAGCTGGCCCGGGCCGTGGTGCTCATTGGCCGCCTGAGGCAGGGGAGAGGAGGGACCTGCGCGGTGGCGCCGACTCCCCGGAGGCTCCGGGCCAGCTGGAGGGCGAAGTGGACTGGTGGTGGAGGGCGCTGCTGGAGGCTAGGGTTGACAATTGTCCCCGGATGGTCTGAGCTGCGGGCGCGTGTGGGCTGCGGACGTGGTCTGGGAGTACCTGGACGGTGCGAGGGGTGAATCTGACGGTGCGCAGGGGAACACGCTGGCCGCAGGGAGTGCGAGGAGAAGGCACGTACCTGCCTCACCGGGACTCTTCTGGCCACCGAGTCTGACGCGTGGGAGGCCCTGCATAGGTGTGAGTTGAATGAAAAAGCGATAGGAAGAACTTAGCAAGCGACACGGATGCTGCCTGGACCCAGAGGAAGAGGCGAGAGCTAGGGCAGCCCAGAGGTTTTGGGAAACTGCATTAGAATTTGAAAGACCTATTTTTAGTTCCCAAATATCCCTTCATTTTCTCCTGCATCTCACTACAGTGGGAAGGTGGATAAGACTTTTGGCCTACCAGAGGGAAGATTACCTGCTGGAGGTGGGTAGATCACATGGTGGTCCGAGGCAGGGCCAGGTCTCCCCAGTACTTTGTGACAGCAAGGTGTTTTCACTGGGGCGTGATCCTTCTCCAGACCCCCCCCACCCCCAGAGCTGAGTTACTAGAATTGCCCACCTCTGTAGTTCAGGCTTTAGGCTGGTGACTATCCCTGGCTGGCTCCCGACTGGTGCAGGCATGACTGCAGACTAGGGTGCCAGAGCCAGCCTATCCACTCCCTTGCAGCGACCCTGGACTGCTTCCTGAGCTTCTATGATCTGGTTCCATTTGATCACCTGCAAAGAGGTGATGAAACAGACACCTGCCCGAGGTATGCAGGATATCGTGTGAGGGCGTCTAGCACAGATTCTAGTTTCTGTTATGTTCTCTTTTCCTGTTTTGTTACTTGTATGCTACATGCATATTTTACCAAATTCAAAAGATATTAAAAGTTTGCAATGCTTACAACGTAAAGTGAGTCTTCTCTGCCAGCCACACACTTTTCCTTCTCTGAGGTATCTACAGTTCCCAGTTCCTTGTGGACTGCTCTGGAAACAGTCTCTGCCTGTAAGTCATTGGCAGATTCATATGTAGGTTTTTCCTTCATACAGAAAGAATCTTACCATTTACACTTACAGTCCCACTTTCATCTTGGAGCGCCACTGTGCACATCTGTCCGTGAGGGCATCTTGGTTTTCTTGGCTGTGGTGATGGACCGTCATCTCTCTGACAACTTCACATCCCCGTTAGTGGCCATTGTTGCCATCATTTGCTTTCTCCAGGCAATTGGGTGGTGCACACGTTTTGCAGGTGTGCAAACGTAGCTGGGATGAATCACCACGCCAGAAGACACATGCAGGACATCCATAGGATCTGCTTTGCTTCCTGAGGCAGTGGTTGTTCCCGTGTGTACAAGTGCCGGAGAGTGATGACTCCCCCATGTCTCATAGCCCCCCTGTTACCAATTTTGTGATCTTCATGGGCCTAGATATTAAATTTTGTACTTTATAATTGCTTTGGATTCAGTATTGCATATTTATTACTGTTCTATTCACTTTTTCTGATTACTTTTAAAGAATTATTCGTTTAATTCTTTGTTTGTTTGTTTTTCGTTATAGGGCACATGTACTCACCAGAGAGAGACGAGAGAGAGAGAGAGAGAGAGAGCAAAAATGAAAAAGCAAACCACCAGGCTCGGGACTCGAACGGTGGTCAACCGTGTGGGAGTCCAGTGCCTTAACTACCGTGCCATCTGCTGGCCCCTCTCGTTCTGATTTTTTAAAGTTTATTTATTCTGTGAATGAGAGCGAGAGAGTGCTCTCAACAGGATCCTGGCATTGCTATCCACCCCCAGCCATCAGCCAGTCCTGATCATGGGCAAGCATGTGCCTGGCATACTCAGGAGGTCTCTGAACTGGGAACATTCCCATGGGCACTGCCTTGCAGAGGCATCATGTTTTATCATTATGTCACTGTACAGCCCCTTATGGCTCTTTATTTCTTTTTTTAAAATTTGCTATAAGGTGTGCACGCTCACCAGAGAGACAAGAAAATGAGAAATCACCCCCGTGGGGAGATGGTCATGCCTCAATCCCTTCTCCCTCTCTTTTCCTCTCAGGATTTTGGGCATGCACGCTCACATGCCCAGTGTGGTTTTCAGCCTGCCAGGTCCAGGACTCGAACTGCATAGTTGGTCATGTGGGATCCAGCCATAAGGTGGATCACCAGCTGGTCCCATTTTTTTTTTAATTGCCAGAGGGCACATGTGCTCACCAGAGAGATGAAGCACCCCAAGTAGGGTACGGTCACACTGCAACCCTTCCTCCTCCATGTTTCCGTCCACTCAGAATTTTAGGCATACACACATGCATCCCCAGCACGTTTTTCAAGCCACCAGGGTTGGCCACGTGGGATCCAACTCTCTATGTGCAGCTGTTAACCGCTGTTCTATAGGGCCATGTCAGCCATCTTTGATTATTGAGATATGCTCCATCTGCCTCACTATCCCCCATGCTGCCACCCTCTACACCCCCACCCTTGGGTTTGGGCTAAGCCCCTCGGCGGGTACAAAGAAGCTGTGTTGGCTTCTGGGTAGAGTGGAGATGGACTTCCCAACATCTAGCTGCTTCTGAGGCCTGGTTGGTGGTGGTGGGCAGAGAAGGCCTCTGCCAAGTTCAGTCTTCAGGTTGTTGCAGCTAATCCCTTCACCCGCCTGGGGAAGCACCACCACCACACACAGCCAGGCTAACCTAGGGAGCCCAGACTGGGCTTTTCCCACCTGGGCTCTCGTTTGCCACAGGACCCCTGCTTACTCACTGTTGGGCCTTAGAAGTTCACCTTCTTCTCTGCTAATCTCCAAATTACTCTAGTTGTAAGCCAGGCCTGGCCTCCCACCCAACTGAGCCTCCAGAGTGGCTCCTGGGGCTTAAATCATGGCTGTTCTCCCCAGAGCAGTCCCATTAGCACAGCCCTCCCACCCCAGCCTGGAGCCTGCTCTGCTCCAAGCCAGGTTCTCCTCCCTCCCTGACCTGGTCATTGTCCCCTAGATAGCCTCTACCTTGTCACAAACCCTTCTGAAGTGTACCTCCCTGCAGTGGGCCTGGGCTCTGCTGTGGGCTCTGAGCAGACCCTCCCTCTGGGCAGTAGACCCTCAAAGGTGCCACCACAATCGCCTTGGGTTTGTTTAAACGCACTTCCTGCTTTGGGTCCCAAGCAGCTGCTGAAATCAGCACTGACCAGTGACTACTGAGGGGGTCACAAGTCCACTGGAGGGGCCAGAGAACCAGACCCAAAGGCCACACATGAGCAGGAACAATGCCCAAATCACATCCCAGAAGTGACCCACACACACACCAGCTTTGGCCCTCGACCTTCATCCTGCACCATACTGGCTGGGCCCTGCTGCTCCAGAGGCTGCTCTCTGCGCCCCCTCGTCACAGCCCACAGCCAGGCTGGGGAAGCCGTGAGGGGTTGGCAGCATCTGTGCAGGATGGGGGAGAGAGGGAGGAGGTCCCCACAGGCGGTGGAGGTTCCTGTGCTGAGCAGTCCAATCAGTGAGTGACGATAGTCCCCAAGCACCATGTGAGTCTCTCCGAATCACACCTGAACTCCAGGCACCCACGTAGTTTTCTCACGACAACCTATGCCATGGTACTGTCACCCCAATTCCCTGAGAATCCTATGACATGTCTGGCATTCTGCCAGACATTCTGCTTCAGGAGGAAGGGGAGTCTTCATGCCTGGAGCCACCAGGCGGTTCTCAGGCTTGCCTTTGTCACCTGCCATTCTGCTGGCCCCCCAGCCTCTGAAGACACCTGAAACCCCTCTGTGTATTGCTTTGTCTCTCGCCCTGTGGCCTGAAGACACAGCCTGGGAGCATGTGGACCCCAGTGGCCGAACGTCAACACAGGATTCGGCCAGGGAGGTGAGCCAAGCTTTCAGCACATTCCCAGAAACTGGTCCCTGGGGAGGGGGTGAGTCAGAGGGTGGGGCTGGAAGGGTAGCTCAACCCTGGCTCCAGCAATTCAGTCCAGACCCCCATCTGTGGTGGGTTACCGAGGGAGCCTTCACTGAGCAGACCACAGTCTCAATTCCTGTCTCCCTCATTCACTCATTCGTTCTTTCACTTAGTCATCTGGTTATTTCTTCGGCATTCATTGAGTACCTGCTGCTGGACACCGGGGATCTAGAGAAACACCAGCCTCAGTCTCTGCCCTCAGGGGGTCAAGGTTGAAAGAGAAGATGGCTGTAAACGGGTAGGAGGGGAGGGGCTCAGGGGATCTTCAGAGGAGGTGACTCAGGGCTGGGTCTGGAGGAGAGGCAGGCGTGCTCCCAGTGGAGACAGCTGCAGAGGAAGGCATGCAGGTGTGAGGAAGGTGGGTGTTCTGGGAACACTCGAGGGGCAGGTGCAGGGGGTTCAGGTGTGCGAGATTGCAGAAGCAGGTAGGAAGCACCTCGTGGTGGGCCTTGCTGCTGGGCAGCACTTGGAGGTTCCCTATAAAGGGTTTGGAGCAAAGGAGTCCCATGGGGGTCTTGGGTTTTAGAAGTGCAGTGTGGGGACCAGCAGATGGCATAGCAGTTATGCACTGGACCCCCATGTAGTTGACTGCAGTTCAAGTCCCAGACCTGGTAGCTTAAAACTCATGTCGGGCATGTGTATGTACATTCCCAAGATCCTGAGAGGAGAATGGAGGAGAAGGAGTTGTGGCATGGCCATTCCCCTTGGGGGTGATTTCTTGCTTTCTGTCTCTCTGTTTCTCCGGCGAGCACATGTACCCTATAAGAAA